GAGGAGGAGGAGGAGGAGGAGGAGGAGGAGGAGGAGGAGGAGGAGGAGGAGGAGGAGGAGGAGGTGGTGGTGGTGGAAACGATCCGCCGCCTCCGTACAGTTTCGATCCTTATAAACCTGCTGCTCGTCAGCAGGGCTGGACGCCGGGTTTCTGGACTGGTGCGCTAGGCGGTGCTGCGGCTGGTTATCAGATGGGGAGACGGGCTGATAGTGGATCGCGTGGTGGAATGCCAATGGGCAGGTTTGGTGGATATGACCCAGGTGAAGGTAGCTCGCGCTCATCGCCGCGGTTTTCGTCTACAACTTCTAGTACTGGGTTTGGGTCGACGAGGCGTAGGTAATATCATGCCTGTCTTACTTCACCTGTCATTTGCTACGGACTTGAGGGAAAAAGAGATATCAAAAGACGGCCAAAACGGGGTTTGAGAAGGACAAAGGAAGCGACAGGTCGTTAACCGGCGGCTCTAACTTCATTTGGCTATTATGAAACCAGCCCATATACAATGGGAGAAATTTAACGAAAAAACAAATCAATTAGTTAGCAATTGGCCTAAAACTCCTGGCTTGCTCATAGTAATCCCACACCCAGAACGCCGTAACCTATTCTTTTCCTTTCGTATGATCCATGTCCAATTAAATGCCAGACTTAAGCCATGGGGAAGTCATCGATCGACCCCAGAACCTCCTCTGTTCCGCCTCCCTGGTTCTTCACAGCCGCCTTCTTGCGCGATTTCTTAACAACCGTCTTGTCGTTCTTGGAATCCTTGGCATCCTTGGAATCACCACCAGTCGGGTTGCGCAGAATTTCCTCTTGCAACTCTTTCTCCTTAGCGTGCTGGTCCTCGATCCGCTTCTTCTCATCATCAAGTTCTTGCTGAACGAGTTTGGGATCATCATAGACAGTGTTCGTCATCTCTGAGTAGGTTGCAATGTCGATGGTCTCGGACGGGCCCATCAGGGTGTCCTTGATTCGTTGCGGATCACGGCGCTCTTCATTGTTGAACTTCAACTTGATCTGACGACGAGACCGGCCCGGGAACATTTTGCTGATAACCATGAAATCCGTACCGAACATGCGGAGCCCGCGATAAAACAGATCTGTCAACTCCTCATCCCATGTTTCGGTCTTTGTACGCCTGCCATACGAGGCCTGATTGATCTTCCGGGTGAACGAGCTTTCCACCACATCTTCGAGGTCGCCGGCGGCTCGGGCGGCATCCGCGTGACGATCAACCTGCAAGGACGTACTATCCAGCACGATTTCGCCGTTAACGATTCGCATAATGGGACCACTTTGAGGTTTCCAATCGACCGCTTGTTCGCTTTTCTCCTGTTCGGGTTCAGTTTGCTTGACAGGCGTTCCTGTTCCTGGCCCAGGGGTTCCGCCCTGCTTCTTCCGTTCTTCTTCGGCCTGATCAATCTTGCGTAGCTCTGTCTCGCGTTTGGACTTCTTTCCAGTTCTGAGATCTTTGCAAAGCTCGGACATTTTCACAACATTCGGCAAGATCTCTACTGTCTCTGCGCCTTCAGGGGTGGGTTCGCGCTTCTTGCGGGTGCGCTTTGGTTTCTCGTTACCCTCTGGATCCGAGGTACCGGCCTTTGAGTACTTTCGCTTCTTTGGCTTTGTTGGATCTGGAGTCGAAAGAGTGGATTCGCTGGGCGTTGCGCTTGGACCTTCGATAGTAGGCACGATTGATTGGGAGCTTCGACGGCTTGCCGCTACGGATACGGACTTCTTCCGAGCTGGGACCGCAATAGCCGTAGTTGATGAGGTTCGAGCGCGTTTTGCTGGTCGACCCTCGGTTGAGGCAGCTTGTTCAGTTTCAGGTTGAGATTGAGGTAGAGCTTCATTTGAATCGACAAGGTTTTCTGCGGCCCGCGCTGTTTCAATCCTGGCGTATTCTAAAAGAGCGGTCTCTGGTCCATGGTCCTCAGAGAATGGAGGTTGAGCCTCAGTAGTTGGGACATTGGCGGGAGATGGGGTGGGTTGAGTGGGAGGAGGGGTAGGCGGGGCGGTTGAGACAGGTGCGGATTGTGAGACAGAGAGAGGGGTATTGCGTTTCTGTAGGACAGCTGGATTCTGGATGGCAGTCGGCTTGGGGATCGGAGTCGGCTTTGAGATGGTAGTTGGCTTGGGGATCGAAGTAGGGTTGGAGATCGGAGTAGGGTTGGAGATCAGAGTCGGCTTGGCGATGGGTGTAGCGGTAGGTGGAGCGGCAGGCGTGACGCTCTGTGTAACAACAGGAGCCGTGGTAGGGGTAGCAACTGGGGGAGTAACTGCAGTATCCAACGCAATGGGTGTTTGTTCCGTGGTAGGCGCAGTGACCAAGGCAGGTGAGGCCTCTGTGACTGCCGTGACTGCCCTTGCTTCCGGCTCTGCAGCCACATGAGGCGCCAGATTGGAGGCTACTACATCTTTGGCTTTCTCTTTCTCTTCCTGACTAGGCTCGGCTGGCGATCGTTGAGCAACACTAGGTCGTCTCGCGGGCGCCGCGGCGGGCGCACGGCGGATAGGCGCCTTCGGGGCGAATTTCTTGCCGGTTTTATCTGTCAAACACACAGTCAGAGATTGCACAGTTATGCTTCTCACTCAGATGATACTCACTTATCGCAGAACTGGAAAAGGACTTCATGACTGCCCATCACTGTATGTATGGTGTGGATTGATGGAGATAGTAAAAAGTTCCAGGCCGGGGAAGTGGGCGAGAATCACGTGATGACACTAGCGGACGCTAAACCTCGTTGAAAATCCTCCTGTCTTCAACTCCTCGATCTCTGCCATCCCACCCCTTCTATCGTCTGCTCGCCCGCCCTTCTTTTACTTCCACTTCTTTCGCTTTCTTTTACTGGCTATTTTCTCTTCTACCGGACTTTCCTTCGACAGGATTGGACACAGTCTCGAGATCTGCGTCTGGCTGACTGACGGACGGTCCGGTGGTGATAATAGCCCTCCCATGCCAGTCTAGCCACTGATGCCGGCCGTCGAACCCCCCGTCACGTCTTCAGAATCCGGTCTTGTCAAGATGGAAGACCGGAAGAGGCCCGCTGCGGACAACAATGACTCGGCTCCGCCATTAAAGAAGCAGGCTACCAGTGTTAACGGTGGTAGCAAGCCTCATCCGGATGCCGATATGCCATGGAAAGATGACTTGGAGGTAAGTCCATGTTTTTCATGTCGTCGGCGATCTGAAGGTTGGATTTCGGTCCCCTGTTGGACATATGCTAATCGGACTTTTTGCGATAGCGATTTCAAAAGGAAGCGATTTTGCGCCAGATGCAAGAGTATAAGCGGGAGAAATCCTCACTGGAATCACGTTTGAGCCAGATGTCAAAGGCTACGACGTTTCACAACGATCACCTTCGTGTTATCGATTTGTGGTTCAAACAGGTAGGTTTTCCCACTGTTTGTCCCAGTCGACTTGAAAGGAATCTTGGAGCAGGGACTAATTCCAGATCAGTTGATTGACGAAGTGAAAATACTGCTTGGGTCATCGCAAGCAGAAGACCAAGGTCAGTGCCATTATTCTAGCCCCACATCAAACCCACTCTTCCAATATTGACAATATTTGCAGAAACCTCCTTTAAAAGCTCCTTACAGTTTGAAGACGTTGAAGAGTTCGAGGCGCATCTGAAATCGCGATCGGAGGATATTCGCGCAATAATTTCTCAAGTTCAGTCTAAGTCTAATGCGCCTACCGATATTTCAGAGGTACAAACTCGCCTTGCGAAGAAATTGGCCGAGGAAAAAGTAGCGATCGCCGAACTGGAAAAAGCCCTAGCCGAAAAGCAACAGTTGGAGGAAAGCCTTGAGGAAGCCTCCCTGCGATATCTGGTAGCCGAAAAGAAACTTGATCGTGCGAAGAGTCTGACTGTTGCGAAATTGGAAAAGCAGCAGTCTATGGGTATTCAACGACCTGGGGACACGGCACAATCGAAGCGCGAGGAATCGTCACCCGCAAATGGAGGCACCCCCGCCGGAGACCGCAATCCCGAGTTGGAAGAAGCCAATAACAAGCTCACTGCAATTTCGGAGAAACAAAAGGAACAAGTCCGGAAACTGGAAGCCGAGAATGCCAGCCTACTAGGCCAGATTACTGAAATCAAAATTAAGGTTAGACTCACCCCGTCGTTACATTGTCACTTTTGCCGCTCACATCGGGATCCCAGTCTTCGAAGTTCACTGATGACGACTACGCCCACACGGATTTGTTTAAACACCTTCGATCACAATACGACGATGTAGTTAAGCGAATCAACCACCTGGAAGCGACAAATGTTCAACTTCGTGAGGAAGCAGAGAAATACCGCTCGGAAAGAACCGCATACAAGATCCAGGTGGAAGATGAAACACAAAGTACGATTGCCGAGAAAGAAGCTCAGTTGATGAGGGCTGAAACGGACCTTGCCCGGATACGGAATGCCCGCGACGAACTTCTGGCAGACCAGCAGATGCGAAAGGCTGCGCAAGATCAGAAAAAGACTTCTAGTCTGAAACTGCAAGAACTGGCAGACGCTAGAGAAGCTCGCATCACAGCGTTAGAGTCAGAAAGCCAAAGGCTGCGACTGCAGATTGAGGGCTCCAAGTCCGACGATAATATCAACGATATGCCACCGGAAGAGCTTCGCGCCAAGTACACCAGCCTGGAACGCCAGTACTCCATGCTCAACACCGAGTTGACATCGATGCAGACGGCTTACACGAAGTTTGCAACTCTGGCATCACAGAAAGTTACCGACTTCGGGGCTATGGAAGAGAAAGTTGCACGGCTGACGGCGGAGAAGTCTAAAGCAGATCAGAAGTTCTTTGCTGCAATGAAAAGCAAAGAAGCACGGGATGTCGAAGTGCGAACGCTCAGGATGCAAAGCTCCAAGACGTCAGATATTGTGGCCCAGCTGAAGGAATCCGAAGCGACCACCCGGTCATTGGTGTCCAACATGGACAAGCAAGCCAGTGAGACCAAGGAGGCACTAAATGCAGCCCTGAGCAAGCACCGCGCCATTCAGCAGCAGTTGACCGAGAGCAATATCCTCATGGAAGGCTTGAAAAACCAGGTTGCAGAGCTCAAGGGGCTTTCAATATCCAAGGACTCGACACTGGGAAGCACCGCTTCTGCTTTGCGACAAGCAGAGACAGAGGTCGCCGGCTTGAAACAGTCGCTTTCAGATACCAAGAAGAGCTTGGACAACTGGAAGAACAAGAGTCTTGGCAATTCGTCCTCGGAATATGAAATGCTGCGAGTAGGTTGAATCCCCAATTTGTTAATGGACTAAAGCTAACCCCATTCAGACACTTGCACTGTGTACGGTGTGCCGTCGCAATTTCAAAAATACGGCGATCAAGACATGCGGCCATGTATTCTGCAAAGATTGTGTCGAAGAGCGTCTCACATCTCGCTCCCGCAAGTGCCCGAACTGCGGCAAATCCTTCGGAAGCAACGACCACATGCATATTACCCTCTGATCGACCTTCAAATCTCCTGTATTATATCTTCCTTTCGATTCTTTCCTCTTTACGTCTATCTCTTTTTAGTGTGTCACATCCGGACAGGTTCATGGTGTGGTGTTTTTGTGTGGTTTAGCAGGTCTGGTTTGGGCCGGCGTTTGACGAGTTATGCACGCTCAGCCCTAATTCGGGGCATGTTTTATTTTCTCTTCTTTCCCTCCTCTTTTCCCGTTACAAACCAAAGCAATGGTGGGTTTCTCAAGGCGCAGGGGCCTCTTTCTTCATCCTCTCTGGACGAGAGGCCGGCGCACACTGATTTCCCTTGGAGGCTGAGCTATTCTAGATTTTTGTGTCATGTAGGACTACCGTGTACGGAGAAAAGAAAAGTACAAAGAAACATGACGAATGCAATGTGAGGATTTTTCCATGCCCCCTTGAGTTCAATGTCCATTATAAATATTCTTGATTCTGGATATTCTTGATATTGTCATGAGTTAAAGATCCGACTATACAACAATTCATGCCTCCCAATCCAAAGATCCAGCGCAGGGACAACCTGCCCGGCCTCCTCAACGGGCGTGTTCCACTCCCGTGCAATGCGCTTCATCATCGTATCCTGCAGCGCCTGGCTAGCTAACACATTCTGCGCCTGGTAAGGGCCCATGACACCCGCTCTGACAGCCGCACTAAGCACAGCCTTAGCATGATTCATAACAAAGACATATGCCGTCTGCTGCAAGTCCAGACCCATAGCCCGACAGACCACACCCCACAGCGGGGCGAAATGGCCTTTGGGGCCTAGATCCTCGTCCTCCTGGAGACAAGACTTCAACGCATCGGACAAATCATCAATAGCAGCGAAGGCGGCCTCGGTGCCCTCCGAAGCCGGAGTCTCGAACCTCGCGAAACTGACTCTAAATGCGCGCTCCCAGACACCTATGAGAGCGCGGCCTTGGGCGATGCTTGCACGCTGCGCGACGATGCACGGCGTTGATGCGTCCAGGTCGTTGTCTAGTGTGTCAAGGGTTGAGGGTTGCCGGTGTCCGGCTAGCACGTAGGGGAGGGATGTGCTTGCGATTGAGGCGATGGAGAGTTTGAGGAAGCGGTGGAAGGAGGTTATTGGGGCTGTGCGCGAGGGTTTGTTGTGCGCTAGGTAGGACTCTAGTCCGCTGGAGTAGGCGAAGGAGCCTAGGGGGAGGGCGGAGTCTGAGAGAAGGAGGAGGGCGTGAAGAGATGCGCGGGTTGAGGTAGTAGATTTGTTATTGTTGGTATTATATTCGGCTAGGAGGGTTAGCTAGAGGTATGCGACGTTGAGGTATAATTTGCCTACCTCTAACGGCCCATGAGGAGGGTGGGCTGGGGTATTCGGAGGCTGCTAGTTGGGCGCGGGCATCTTGGAGGCGTGACTCAAGGAGTGTGACTTCGGCTTCGAGGTCTTGGGTGTCTTTGAGAAGCATAATGTAGTTATCAGATATGTAGTAGAAGTAGTATATGTAGCTTTTGTATAAAGTACAGATTTAATGAGAACTAATTTAGTATCTGGACCAGAGGGTGTTGCGGTCTTATAGAAAGAAGCTCGCCGATCGGCAAAAAAAGCGGAGGCCGCCGCACAAGTCCCGAGTGCTCCCTATCAGCTTGACTGTTTCGCATTATTAACTGTTTTTGGACCTGTAAGACATTTCTTGCTATCTTGCTGATCTTTTCGCCCTATTTTCCCCGCGTCATGAACTAGAGTCATCTCCATAACCATGTCAGGCAAGCGTCTGCTCGACGCCATCCAATTTCTCAATGTGTCCAAAACGGTTGCAGCCAAGCATCTGGCCATCCGGCAACATCAGCTAGATGTCTACACGCGCACATCCTCCCTGACCAAGGGCATCAAGGCCCAAACAGACGGCCTGATCCTGACCGCTCAAGCCGCCGCAGCATTGGCACGCCGATTTGACGAACCCTCGCCACCACCTCCGCCGAGCCCGGCAGACTTCCCCGACAAGTCGACCTCCGCCGATAAGCCGCCCGCAAGCATTGTAACGTCGCCACCTCCCGACCTCGCCCGCAAACTGCAACGTCAGGCCGAATCGCAGATTCCGGCTTCAGCAGCAACATACAATGGCGATGAGAAACCGAGCTCTTTGGATGTGAGCAAGCAGCAGGATGTGTTCTATGAGCCATCTCTTCAGTTGGAGCCGGATCTGTCGGGACTACCGAGAGTGAAAGTACCCAAGGTCGCCAGCGATGCTCAAGTCGGTAGTGATGAGTTGAACGCGGATGTCTTCCACTCGTCTGTTGAATCGGGTAAGCCTGCTCCGGTTGAGCAGGAGATGTCCGAGGAGGTGCTCCAAGGTCTTTTCCACAGCCCGAGAGTGTCGCGCATGATCTCCGGCAAGCCGCCGCCGAAGAGGGACTGGAAGCTGGCTCCAAAGCGTCAACAGTCGGTCGTGGATGACGCTAAGCCGATCGCCCCCGTGACTTCGAAATCCGACGCCCAGGAGATGGAGGAGCTTGCGGCCAGTGTCGCTGAAGACGTGGTGCCCAGTGCGAAGACTGTCGGCGAGGTCAAGGAGCAACAAGCATACCAGATGCTGGAGTCCCGCGTGCCGTCCTCCCGACTGGGCAGACTGTGGCAGTACGGTGGTCTAGCGACATCAATGGCATTTGGTGCTGTCGGGGAGACTTTACGGCGAGCCACTGGCAGCCAGGATAATGGCTCGATTATGTTCAGTCCTGGTAACATGGAACGAATGGTCGCTAAGCTGTCAAAGATGCGCGGCGCAGCTCTCAAACTGGGGCAGATGCTGAGTATCCAAGGTGCGTTGCATCGGCTTGCTCACTGGTGTATCTAATACTCATTCTAATTCCTCTAGACTCCAACATGCTCCCGGAATCAATCCAGCAAGTCCTCCAACGCGTTCAAGATCGCGCGGACTATATGCCCGCCTCCCAGCGCGACAAAGTCCTTGCCGAGAACCTCGGACCCAACTGGCGCGATCTCTTCACCACCTTCAACGAGGTCCCTATGGCAGCAGCCTCAATTGGCCAAGTCCACTCAGCCGTCCTCAAAAGCACCGGCCAACCCGTTGCTGTAAAAGTTCAATACCCCGGCGTCGCCGACTCAATCGACAGCGACCTAAACAACCTCTCCATTCTCCTAACAGCCTCCCGACTCCTCCCGAAGGGCCTGTATCTTGACAAAACAATCGCGAATGCGCGCACCGAACTAGCTTGGGAATGCGACTACATCCGCGAAGCCGAGGGCGCTGACCGCTTCCGCGAGCTCCTAGCCGACGACCCTGTCTTCGTCGTCCCCGAGATAATCGCTCACGCCTCCGGCAAACAAGTTCTCACAATGGAAATGCTAGACGGCGTAGCCGTAACCAAAGTAACAGACTTCACACAAACCCAACGCGACTGGATCGGCACACAAATAATGCGCCTCTGCCTCCGCGAGATCGCTGAATTCCACTACATGCAAACCGACCCGAACTGGACGAACTTCCTCTACAACGCCTCGACGAACAAAATCGAACTCCTGGATTTCGGCGCCTCGCGCGCCTACCCCGAAGAATTCATAACGCCCTACGTGCGCACTCTAGTCGCCGCCACCCGCAACAACCGTCAAGCCTGCCACGACCTCTCCATCGAGCTGGGGTACCTGACCGGTATGGAATCGCAGGCGATGGTGGATGCGCACCTAAGCTCGATCATAACTCTCGCGGAGCCGTTCATGCTTTCCTCACCGGACCTGTACGATTTCAGCAACCAGACGATCACGGACCGCGTGCGCGCGTTTATTCCGATTATGATCCGGGAGAGACTGGCGCCGCCGCCTGAGGAGACTTACTCGCTGCATAGGAAGTTGAGTGGGGCTTTCTTGCTTTGTGCAAGACTTGGTAGCTCGGTGCCTTGCAAGGCTTTGTTTATTGAGGCTGTTGAGGCGGCGCGGCGGAATGGGCTGAAGGTGGAGTAGAGATATTGTGGCGCTATGTACTATTATAGACTCTGTATACTGTATACTATATATATATCAAACGATGTTTGGAACACACCCAAAGAGACACCGCAGTGGTATAATAGATGTAAGATTACTGGTTCACAGACAGCGCTTGTTTTTACCTTGTTTTAGAGACGCATGCAATAATATTGACAAGGCCCGCTGGTGACATGATGTGCGATGACAAGGCAGCAGTAGGTTAACGCGGTCAACTGCTCCATGTCCCTCCATCACACTCCGTGTCTTTCGCAGACGCGGCCCAATCGTACCAATTCACCTCCTCATCCATGCCCATGTTACTATCGGCTGGGTCTTCGGAGGTACTGGTGAAATCAATTGAAGTGTCCTCCTCAGACCACAGCCAAGGTGCAACGGGTGGGGTGGCAAGTTGACCGTCGAATTGAACTTCTGGTGCCATTGAGAAGTGGTTTTGTGATGAAGCGGCAGGGTTTTCAGGTCCAAATCCGATTCCTATGTTAGGTGCCATGGCTGAATCGAAGCTTGTAGATCCAACACTTGACACTTCGTACCCGAACTGCCGTTCTTCTGCAGGAAGATACTGTGGCTCAACGGTCAAAGCAGAGGGGAATGTTTGAAACAGATTGGGAGCATTATGCACACTTGACTGCATCGTACTTGCATTATGCATCGGTGGATTAGACGTATTGGTAATGGCAAACCCGGGCGTGAGTGCGCCATATCTGGTTTTATCTCGTTGTGCCACCAGCTGGCGCCATTGGTCAAGGAAGAGACCTACAGAATTTGAACCAGATGGAAACGGCCCAGTGCTCGACGGGAGTGGTGCAGTTTGATAGGCCTGCTTCAGTTGTTGAGCAGCTTGAGAGTCATTTCTCAGCCGCGCCAACTCCATATCGCGATATTTCCTGGCCTTGGTCATCAGCTTTCGGAGTGGAATCCAGATGCGTAAATTCCTTTGCATGTGTGATTGATTCGGTATTAGCCAGGGACTATGAAGGGCCACCCAAGCCCGTTCAGAAAGAGGTGACCACGGGCGTCGAGAGATCTCTAACATCATGTAGACAATGGAGTACCAATGGGTATAGGTCTGGAAAGCCCAGCGCCAGTGTCTACATGCTTGCTCATTGTTCAGCGCGTGATTGTACTCGGCAACCTCGATACTGGAAACCAGTAGCTTGGTTCTCAGCTCCTCCGAGAAGTCTTCATTCGGGGAGGAGAACAATAGAGGCAGGTAGATAAGCAGAGTCATCTTGGCCATAAGAAGCCGAGCGACCGTAACTATCACCCAGTATGTAATGTTCCCGGACTCGGTTGAGTACTGAAGAAAGTCTCGTTGAAGATCTTGGTATATCTGTTGCAACAAGCGGCTTTGCTCTTCTAAGCTCGGTGCTCCTTGTTTGAAACCATGAGCCATCATCTGCCGCGTGATCTCACACATGCCGAAGGTGACACGCGCAACGGACATATCAGTCAAGGCATCACGGGCTTGAGGTGCTTGCTTTGATTCGGCGTCGAGGTCGATGTCATTGAGGTTAAGAGGTATTTTAGTATCGAAGCTCGCTTTTGTGATTGTGTAATCGGTTCCTTGATCCTCGGATGCTCTCACATCCAATACGCACAGGGTCCACCAGACCCTTCGCCGCATCTCAATCTCGTATGGGGTGATATAATCAAAATGCGTTCCGTCACGATGCAGTCCAAGAGCTTGGCCCATTCGGATTACCAGTCCTGTCATCATCCACACAAACCTTGGACTGTCATGCCGGCGAGCAAGACAAAGAAAGATTGCAAATGCCTGCACGAGAACAAAGTCAGGTGCATTCAGAAAATCAGCTCTTGCAAGAGCATATTCGAGGCCTTGGCGATATTTGAGATTGAGCTCGGCTTTGGTAGCTCCGAAATTAAGTATTATCTAAATGTACCGAGACGTGAGCCTGAGACCCGCATGATTGGATCCGTCAGAATTGAACGTCTAAATATTTGACTTACATCTTCTTCTTCCATCGACGTGACGGCAGCGTAGTAAATAGCGAACATCAAAGCTTCATTGGCCGGTGTGAGTCCCTTCATCTCACGGCCGCGCCAATCGCGGACCATGTTCTTGATGGTGGGAAGATGAACGATTTGGAACATAATGTTCACATTTTCTGAGAACATGTCTAGAAGAAATGGAATTTGAGAGGGGAGTGGATGAAGGCCGGTCAGGTTAGGAGAAAAGGGACTCAAATTGTGCCCAAACAAGAATCCGTGACGCTCTGCAGGGGTCCGTCCAAGTTCTTGTGTCGAAGAGGTCATCTCCGGCGAGGCCTCGTCATCCGAGGTATCAGATTCTCCTGGTTGAAGACCATGAGCATCTGCGCTGAGGTCATCAAGCTACAATAGAAGTTAGCTTGCCATTCATTCCATGCAGCAATGTAAACAAGCCAAGGCGGCATACCTCGTCATTGACCCGAGACCAGAAACCACTACTAACGTAACGGCTTCGATTGGAATCCTGGAGCACCAGTCTCCCAAACTTACTTTGCACATTAGCAGTACTAATGGAAGATGGGTTCGACGGTCGATCATGCGCGGAGCTTTCAGGCGAACCGACCCCACATGACCCTTCAGCGGCGGAGTTAGCTGCTGATTTGGCCTGTTCTAGCTGATTTCGTAACTCTTGAACAAGACTTTCAAGGTTGTGAAGTCTCTCCATCACATCTTCTGCTACTGGTTCGGGTTTCTGGGATGCCTGTAGATTGGATACCGCGCTGTTGAGGCGGTCGAGATGGCGCGCCCATTTTGGTGGACGGTCTGTTGATGGAAGCACACAAGCGATATTTGCGCGACGGCAATTGGAACAAGGCGCTCGCTTGTCGCAGCGGACTTTCCGACTTCGGCATACAATACAGCTGCGCGGCTTCAGGGATGTTGTGCTTCTGCCTGAGGCGTTGAATCTCGCGTTTTTCTCGGCGTCCGAGGCCGAGGCGAGCGCGTCCCCAAGGGGCCCGGACACTGTGACAGGAGGTTCTTCGGGCATCTTCGGACCATTATGAGCTTGCAAGATCTTGATTACCCTAATCTCGTTAGGCAACCGGAAAGGCCTAGAGGAGTTGGCTCTGATTCAACCAATGAGAACGGCATTTCCGCCTCGATATGATAGACACGTGTTCTCCCCCTCATTCAGACACGAGTCGCGAGAAAAGAGCGAGACTTTCTGCGTTGGCTTGGATGGCTTTCGCTTTCTCGATCTTCAAAATGTATATTATGAAGACGATCGTCACATCCGAGACACTCGAAAGAAGCCATCCACATCGACTCTACTTTTCTTCCATCAGAATACAGCCATCCAATACCACTGAGCAACTACAGCCCATCTAGACAATGACGGCAAACACTAAGTCTGTTGCATTCTTTGGAGCCAGCACGGGCGTTGGCCTTGCTGCTCTCAAACGGACTCTCGTTGCCGGACACAACTGCATCGCGCTATGCCGTGATCCCTCAAAACTCACAGCTGTCTTCCCTATGGAATCAACAAGAAATCTGAAGATTATCAAAGGCAATGCACACGATATCTCCGCCGTGTCGCAGTGTATCCAAACCGACGATGGCCGCATCGTCGATGTCATCGTGTCCACCATTGGCGCCAAACCCCGTGGAATGGCTGTCGACGATCCGAACCTTTGCAAAAAAGGCGCCGCCACCCTCCTAAATGCCATCGCCGAGCTTCGAAGCACCGGTATTACCGGAAGTCCACACATAATTGGTTGCAGCACAGCGGGCTTCTCCCGCTTCGGCCGCGATGTCCCTCTCGTTATGGTGCCCATCTATTACCTGTTTGTCAGCGTCCCCGGAGCAGACAAGGTAGTCATGGAAGATCGTTTCGCGCAGAGCGGGGAATCATTCACAATCATTCGGGCGAGCCATCTTGTTGATGGCGAGTCGAACAAGACTATCCGCGTGGGCATCGAAGATCCCAAGACCGGTCCGGAGACTAGGGCTATTGGCTATACTATCTCCCGGGAAGATGCGGGGAGGTGGCTCGTTGAGAACCTTGTCTTGAAGTCAGATACAAAGTATTTGAACAAGAATGTGACCGTCACATACTGATGGGGATAGTGCCGGAGACAGATGAACTAGCCGAGAAGTTTTCGTTTGCTGGGATTTATAACTTGATAATGACGAATTGCCCAGGTGTGGTTGCTTGAATGCATCGCGGACTTCTCATCCTCATACTGTTCATAGTCTGGTGGCCACCTCGGTTTCATTAAACCGTTGGGTTCGACATTTCAGGCAATGTGTCCAAAAGTGACGAGAGATATAAGAATACAATCTCTTGTAAAGTTGTCGCCTCGAAATTGGGCTTTTGTGGTGAATATAGGTAAAAAGCCTAGGCTACAAAATTACACTTGAATAACTGTATATAATACCGAGTACATAATGCAAATTTCTTTCCATATATCAAGCTATTTGAAGAGTTTTAAACTGATTCCAAGTATGTATAATTCACATAGACAAATGAACTTTGCTGACCATCTAGTGCTTTCTGTTTGCTCGATAACACTGGCTCTACCTCTACTTCTCACCCTTCGGGAGAAACGCTTTCAATAATGCCTTCGAATCCGGGGGAGGTCGTTTCTATATATCAAATTAGTTTATCCCAAGGATTCACTTCGGCTAGCTAAGGGTCTTATAATAGTAAGCGTTCGGCGATATAATTCAAGTGGAAAGGGGCAGTCTCCAATGGTTCATTTTGTCTTCTTGGTGAGACTACTTGATGCTTGTGTCACAAAAGTATGCGATACAGCTGTATTCAAGGTCAATTTCTTAGGTCCCCGTTGCCAATAGAAGGCCCAAGTAAAAGGTTCTTAAATAGAAGACGTGTGAATAATTACATACTAATGTTGGCACACGGTCTGCTTTTATATCTAAGACTTTGAGCTCGAGCCGCTCTCAATTAGAAGACAGAGGGAGACAACATCCTGAAACGGACAGAATTCTCCGCTCTTTCCTGCCCCCCTTGGTCATGACGTATTTTCTTGGTGAGATGTAGTGCTCCAAAACATGAGGGCAGCGGCAATGCTATCAAGGAACTAACTATCACAGTATAAACGACCCTGTGGGGGCTAATCCATTCTGGGTATAGTCTGCAGCGGGGTGCATCAGTGTTGCTCACTGATTGGACACTGAGCATCACTGAGAAATCAGAGAGAATCCAATGAGCACTCACTAAGCATCAGTCATTCTGCACGTGACTGATCTGAGCATGATCACTGATATGAGCCCAGCACCCTCATAAAAGCGGCAGCTCAAATAGGAAAGTCCCACCCGCCAGGGAAAATCCGGTACGTATAGGTACATGTATAACATCCATCGATTTGTACTAAGCCTAAATAGGAACTACCTTATTGTGAGTCGGATGCCTTCTATAGACTTCATTCTTTCGTCTTCCAACGTTGTTTCTATATTTGTTCTATTCTCCAGGGCTGCTTATTTATCTGCAAAATTCTCCAAGCCCGCCTATCTTGAAATCCATCATATTGCAGCAGAACTTGGTTCCTCGATTTCACCTATTGGATCTCTTTAAAGAAACCCAACCCGTTTTTTGGCCATAATGTTCCCAGCCTCCTCCCTTATAGAGCACTTCCGCTTGTCATACAAGGAATTCAGTCTATTCGCGGGGCTATCTTTCACTGCATCGGCAAAAAACAACAGTTCTCATTGGATGGTCTCCCTACGGAGATTTTACCATCAATATCAGATCTGCTGTCTCACGAAGATATCTACTATCTTTCATTAGCCAATTCGCGACTTTTCACAGCACTCAAACGTCAAAGGGAGCAGCTCCGACCGCCTACACGAACGGACAAGCTACCAATCCTTCATAGAATTGAGCATGATTTACCGAGCTACTTCGTTTGCTATCGTTGTCTTGTTCTGCACAAATATAATGTCTGAACATTGCTCTGAATTATCACACTCGCCATGTAGATGGTTTTAACATCTTCCTTATGTGAAGGACGGGAAATCCATTATATCTCAATTCGCCTTACAGGTACTTGAGTATGAATTTCATACTCGCTACGATTTCTACTTTGTGCATATTCAACTCGCTATAGAACGGTTCTACCACGGTCCAAGATTTGGTATCACCACCGAGTCGCTATCGTATACCTATGTGAAAGAATACGGTAAGTCACGTGCGTTATTCTTAATTGAAGCACAAATATGTCCCGGTAGAGGAAGGCTTTCGATATCATCGACACGCCCAGGCTTTATAACACACCCAGGGCCACCGGCATCTCCAAAGTCACCGATACGCTCATGGGGAACACCGAATTCAAAAAGAGCGCCAGAGCTACGGCAGCCAGGATACCCGGGAGAGTTGACTCAGTTCGAAGTTCCTAGCCTATGCCTACGAATGCAAGGTATCATATTAGTTAGTCGCAAGTAGCTTCATCTATTTTCGTCTAATGCATTAGTTAGCACCTCTGAGATCTTTTATATTTGCGCACATATGTCGCACTCAACATCAGTAAAATCGATGGTCAAGTCCTATACTACCGGAAAGGAACCAACAGACTATCATATTACCGCAACTTACAGAAGATGCGACACAGAGTACGAGCTTCAACTTGTTAAATGCAATCAAGATGATCTCGCTCTAGTCAGCACGAGGTGGATCAACTTAGGCCCAGGTCTTAGCCCAGATGAGCCCCAATAGAAAGTCCACACATTCCAGTCCCTAGTGCAGGAACGACTCTCGTTGGATACAAGAATCCCACATATAAGTCTCGGGGTTCGTTTGGAACTACTATCGTAAAGAACTGGTCGGCGGAAGCTCTTTATTCTTACAATCTTTCATTTCTACGAGCTCAGAAATACAGAGCTTCAATAGACCACATCACTTTTCCCGGATCCACGTGGATCCTATACTTTCCTCGAGAGCGCGTGAAGAGTCTGGCAGGCCCAACAAGCCAGTCAGGGCCGGTGGTGCCGCAGCCACGCCATAAGGGAAAACTGGAATGAACTCTGATTTCTCTTCACATCTCCCTATCCCCTTTTCTAGCTTGGACCGACAGAACAGCCCATATTTGTCTCTATTAGCCTATGTTCAGATCGAGAGCTTTCTTCTACTTTCTTCGTCCTCTTTTGCTTGTGACTCAATCACATGTGAGAGGCTATCCGAGCTAATGAAACATATAAAGCGAATCTATCTATCCTCACTCTAAAGAATAATAGGGCTTACAGCTTAAAATCTACCTAGAATGAGTTGACTCCCGAACTAGAATAATCCAGCGTAAGTCCATTGTAAAGTACCCTAGTGTGAATCTAAAACGAGCTACTTATAGAAGAAATTACTGCAAGTCCATTGCTGAAACGTCTACAAGGCCATTCTAGCAACTTTGATATTCTCTACTCCACGGATTTTAGATTTCACAGTTAGCTGCCACCTTCTCCACCCCAGATCTCATCCTTTGACCACTCCCTGCCAGGCTGCCGGCGCTGTCCAAAATCCCCTCCCCAACGTCCACCTTGACTTTATGCTCAAGGCTTTGTTTCAAAGTTGTATAACACTCTTATGGATGGCCCTTCTGTCCTCCTTCAGGCCAGAGTGGAATCACCAGCCTTTTGAGCTTTTAGATGTCCATTGTCACCGGCCTCAACACATGGAGCTGGTTCTCCAGATTTCGGATCCTCTCCTCGATGGAGTCCTTCTCCATTATAACATAATATTATGGCCTTCCAGATGCCGTTGCGAAACCGCTTTGCCAGGATTCCCGAAACTGCGTGGATGAAAGGGCAAAAGGCTGGTCAACATTATCAAGCTGTTGACACCCCATGGCCTTTTGTTCTGTTCGGAGCTCGGTCGTTATAAGGGGAATTCTCCATATCGGCATAGCATCAGGTTATGGCTGTCCGTAGGTTTTTGGGTAACTGTTTCGCAAGGAAGTGACGGCAACTCTATGGATGAGAGCCAAGAGACTGGGCCAACGCACTTAATCCACAGCACATGGCTTTTCGGCGTCTTCGATCTCATGTTTGTTGTGATCGATACTATGGCATAGAGGGAATAGACTTGCGTGCCATGGGACATTTCTTGAGCTGTAGCCCGTGTAAGTAACTGCCAGTCACTACTCTGTTTATTTGACATACCTATGATGCATTTTCTGTGTGGCTCGCGTAGTGCTAGATAGCTATAGGGATATTCGTTGATTCTATTACTCGCGTTGGAGAGGCTAGCTCCGTTTTGTTAGTTCAAACGTAGTGGGAAGGAAGGGGGAGGAGGACGGAAGAAGGGAAACCTACCGTACATAAGTACATACATGTATGTAAGTACACCTACATGCACATCCCTACGTACAAGTAGTCCCGACGCCACGCGCCGCGCGGCGGAAGGACTACAAGTCAGCTAGGTACTCTATGAGGAGAAGTACCTATCAGCTTGTCGTTTGAAACCGAATAAAGGGTGGGATTATAGTACATTTCCGAAGAAATTCTAAGCAGTTATATAAAGATACCTTATATAGTCACTAATGTTCCTTAAAAAAAAAAGGCTAAAAGGTAAAAAAAACGAGTTAGTAAAGTAGGAACTATAGTACTTTAGCTAGCTAATAACCTTAGCATTGCTTTGGCCCTGAGCTCCAGGCTGATGCAACCAAAGCGTTGACAAGTCTCGGGGTTGAGTTGATTCTCAGGGACAGAATAACGGACAACGAAATTAAGAGTGGCGCTGTGAGACTGACCTCTGAACGGACGGTGGAATGCAACTTTCTGGTCAACTGTTCAGGCCAGAGGCCATCCTTGGCACTCGTATCTGATTTGAGTCTGAAAGCTATTTCACCGACGGGGCACATAGGTGTCAAACCAAGAGTGCAGATCAAGGACGACAGCTTGCCCAGCGTCTACGTCAGTGGCGACGTCGTGGACGCCGTTGTGCGCAGCCCACGGGGTGCCTCCTGCAATGATAGGAATTTGACCAGGCGGCCATTTTCCTGTGGAATATAAAACTAAATATCTGGTTGGTCTTTCAGTTTCGAGTCATCAAGTGCAAGTCCGAGTCGCATTCCTGACTGAAGGTACTTGCTTTCTTGAAATGAGTTTCCCTG